ATCATAAAAGAATGTAATAATGATGAAGAATCAATTGATAAAGTGAAGAATGCAGTAATAGATAAAATCATTAATATAGAATAGATGAATAAAATTAAAATAAGATTTAAAAACAAAGAAAGAAGAATATCAGAAAAAGGTAAATGAGTATTTTGAATATATGAGCAATAATATATATAACAATAGTTGCATAGTGACAAATAATTAGAGTTATAGATGATACAATTATTGATTTGAATATTAACATGAAATTAATAATAATTTCATTAGAGTCAAATTAATAAATCAATAAAATAAAAGAATGAATGCAAAGAATAAATTATATTAACAAAAATGAGTGAATGATTTGGTTTAGATATAAAAGTTATATTATATTTAATGAAAAAGATTAAAATAAAGTACTTGTTAACATTTCATTTTCATACTAAAGAATGAAGGGACTATAATTTTATAACAAACAAGGCACGTATATTTAAATAATTTCATTAGATGAAGTTATAAATAAAATACAAAAAACAACAAAAAACGGAATATACCAGTAAATTTATAAATATTATTATAAAAACAAACCATTTGTCTTACAAGAAATGTTATAAAGTGTGAATGATATAATATCATCTATATTTGAAATTAGTGATAATGCATAAGAATGATATTAAAAGAATTTCCCAATAATAATTATATGCATTAAAAAAGTATTATATGGATTTGAGCTTTTATATTTATCTAATTACTCCTTTTTGATATTAATCAATTTTTTTTTTATTAATATAAAAATAAGTTTGAATAATTTGATGAATAGTTTTAAATTAATAATAAATTGACATCATTCAAATTAAAACTTTTTTGGATTAATATAATTATTTATCTTCTAAAGAATAACAAATCAAGTATAAAAAAATAAATTAAGTTTAATTGCATAAATTCAAATAACTCTTTTATCAATTACTTCAGACAATAAATAGCATTTGTTTTGATTATCAAAATATTAATTTAGTGCTTTTTTATTTTTATCAATGGAATTAAACAAACTAGAAACTAATCTTCATTTCATAATAGTACTAGCAATTTCTACCAATCAAAAAATTTATATAAGAGAAGAAATAAATAGAAAAAAAGAAATTAATTTTGAAAATTAATTTGTATTTAAAAAATAACACAAAAATATTTCATTTTTAGATTTTTTACTTTTCATTAAAATTTAAAAAAGATCTAATAAAATCGTATTATCAAGTTATCATGGGATCTGCTCAGTCACGTAGAACAAAAAGAAACCAACGAAAGAATCAAAAAGAATGCACAAATAGTCCTGAAACTACTCCTCCACAATCTTCACCACATGAAAACTTGAAACAGCCAATAAATGAAACTACAAAAAATGTTACAACAACCCAATGTGTTTCTAAAAAAGTAGAAACAAAACCAATAGTTCCAGTACAAGAAAAACCAACCGCTCAAGTTCAAGAAAAGCCAAAAACCAATCCTCAAAAAGAAGAAACTACCAAGATAACACAAGAAAAACAAAAAGAACAAATAAATACAATTCAAAATGACTTTAATTTGTATCAAAAAGATGGAGAAATTCAACCAGAAGGATTAGCTCAAATGATTGAAGACCTTGGTATTAATGATATTGGATCTATAAAGGCTTTATGGGTTGCATGGAAATTAGGAGCAAAGGACTATAAGATTAATGAAAATGGATTTAGAAAAGGCCTTGAATCAGTTCATGTTTCTTCATTAAAAGAATTTAAAAATTGTATTCCTGAAGACCCATTAAATGATAACTTAACTGGAAAACGACTATTTAATTATGCATTTGAATGTAATGTAGAATATCGTCAAAAATTAATGGAAAAGGAAGATTCTATATTATTACTTCATCAATTCTTTGGAGAAAATAATGAAATGGTAAATAAATTCATAACTTTTCTCTCACTTGATTCAACAAAACAATTAAATAGAGATGAATGGCAAAACTTATATGATTTTATAACAACAATTCATTTAGACTTTTCTAATTATGATACAACATCAGATTCTGCATGGCCATTACTTTTTGATAGTTTTGTGTCTTCATTTCAAAATTAATGAATTTAATAGATAAATTAGTTAATAAAAAGAGAAAGAAACCATTTTATTATTTCAAAAAGAGGTTCTTTTTTTTTGTTATACTTTTAAATTAAAGAAGAATAAAAAAATAATGATAATATATGTTAAAATTAATTAATTTTTTAATTGAGTTTCAAATAATTCTTTTGCTATAGAAGATACATCTTGTTCATCATCAGCCATTAACTGATAACAACAATCACGAACATTACTTATTTGAATAAAATTTGGATATTTTGAGGATATTAAATAAATTGCATGACATAAATGAATTCTTACATTTGGAACTGGATCATCAACACATAATAAAAAGAATGGCATAAAGAAATTATCTAAAATTGCTAAACCTTCATCCATAGATTTTACTTCTCCAAAGATCCAACTAATAAATTCAATAATAATCTTTCTTCTATGATAATTTCTTTTCGATAAAACAATAAAATTATTTCTTACTTTTTGTTTAAATTCTTTAGATGATATCATATATACTTGTGCTGTAACTTCTGCTGCTTTAGATCGTGTAGCAGCCATTGGATCATTTAATAATTTAAATAAATAAGTTTGAACATCAACTGATTCTCCAACTGATTGAACAACTCTACTAAAACTTGATGCTATTTGTAATCTTACTCTCCAAAATGGATCTTCCATAAAACTCATAAAAGATTTCATATATCGTTCTTTATATTCAGGATTAACAATTCCAATAACATCTGCTAATGAACTGATAGCAGCTAACTGAACTACTTTTTCATCTTTAAGTAATGAATCATATAATTCTAAAAAGAATGCCCTTGTATCTTCTGCTTTTACATAAGGCATAAATAATTGAAAACAAACTCCAACACTATATCTTGCTCCTATAGCACCTGAATTAGCTAAATTTTTAACAATAGTAAATACAGTTTCTGATTTAGTTTCCATATAAAAATTAATAATTGAAACTAAACTTTTCCCAACTGATGTTGGAGCATCAGGAAATAAACGAACTGTATCAGATGATAAATTAACAAGAATTGGTAATATTTCTTTTGAATATTGATTAGCAAGTTTTTTTCCTATAATATGAAGAAAATGTGGTATTTGTTTTAAAGAAACAATTGCATTTGGTTTATTTGCATCTTGGACTAATGAAAAAAATGGTCGAATTAAATTACTTTTACTATCAACAGCTATTTCTGCTATTGATGTAATACATTCTGATGCCTTTTTTCTTACTATAAAATCTTTGTCATTTGCACCACATACAATTGCAGGAACAATCATTCCATCAATATATTCTATTGGTAATTGTGTTGATAATAAAGAATATGTTTTAATTGTATTCTTACGTAATGAAAGATCTTTAGACATTAAAAGGTCTGGTAATTTTGGTAATAATAATTGTATTTTTTCTTCTTCACTTAATCGTGGTAACATTGCATCAACTAATACTAATCCAAATACTTGATTTTGACAGTCACTATCATCCATTAATAATGCTTTTGAAACAGAATATACATACCCTCTAAAATCTGTTTCATTTAACATTGGAATAACTCGTTTTAAACATTTTACTGTTGCTTTTTTAATTGCTTTTGGACTATTTACGACAAGTTCAGTTAATGGAGCAACAAGAAGCATTGCTTGAATTCGATATTCTTCAGTATCCTAAACAAATAAATAACAATTAATTATATTATTTATATAATAAATTAACAAACTGATACATAAAGTTTTCTTATTACAGGTAATAAATTTTGAATTAAATAAACAATTTGTGAATTTTCTGAATCTCCTAAACTGTCATGAAATAATGGTATAAGTTCTAATATTTCTTCAAATGATAATTTTGGTGTTAATTCTCCTAAACTTTTATAAGCTGCTTTTCTATATTATTACATTTATCTCTTATTCTCTTTTTTTTTTAATAATTCATTTCATATTTAAACAAACCGTTTAGGTCCTGTACTTTTTATTGATTCAATAAATTCTTTAAATTCCATTTCAGTGTTGGTCATTTAATTATAAAGAACTTAATTTTCTTTATTTTTTGAAAAACTATCTTTTCAGTTCATTTTAATTAATTTTATTATTTTTTTTTACTAATATTTTATTATTTGAAATAATATTTTATTAACTTTTTTTTATTTAATTTATTGATTCTTCTTTTGTATAATCAAACTCTCAATATTAAATTCTGACTTGACTCAATGGAAATAGTATTAAATGTTCGTAATGAAAAAAATATTTCCAATTTTGTGAAAATTAATAGTTCAAAATTTTTATTTTTATCAAAGTCAAAAATTAAAATTTCAAATATTCAAAATTATTGTGGAACGAATAAAATACTTGAAGAATATATTTGTTACTTTATTATTGACAAAAATTTAAATGAAAATGAAATTGTATTAAATGATGAAATGATAATTTCATTAAGATTTCCTAAAAAAGTTAAAATTTCACTTTGTTTTATAAAAACAATTCATGAAGCAATAAATATTATTGTAAAACCTTCTCCTCATCCTCTTATTAATTTAAAAAAACAAATTAAATATTTTAATGATAATAAAAATTGGGAAAATTTTAATCATCGTTTTGTAAAAATTGGAAATACATTATTATTAAAAAGTGATTCAATTGGTAATGAAAATAATTTATTATTATCTCAGTATAAATGGTTTTCTTATTCCATTGATAGTATTAATAACAAAAAAATAACTTCTTGTTTTTTCGAAATTACATCAAAAACAAAATTTTATATTGAACCTTCTCCTTCTTTAATATTAACTTCAAAATTATCTCCTTTAACATTTATTTCATCAGAACAAAATTGTAAAGAATTGTACTCTTTTCTTTCAAATCTCTTAGTAGAATCAAATCAATTAAATCAAATGAAAGAATGTATTATATTAGGACCAAATGGAATTGGTAAAAGAACTTTAGTTCTTCAAATTGCTTCAACTCTTCAATGTAATTTTATTAGAGTTGGAATAGATGACTATTCAATATCTGATACATTAACATTAATAGAAGAATCAATAAAAGCTCTTCCTATTATTATTTTATTTGATAATATTACAGACATTAATTATAATATAATCTATCATTATACTTCATCAATTCAATCATTTCTTGCAACTAAAATTAATACTCTTCCTCATTCACTCTTTAAAATGATTTGTGTATTTAATATAGATTCTATTTTTTCTCCATCTGATTCTTTTCCATTTCTCCGCTTAAAAAATTATCAAACATCTGATCTCTGTCGTATTCAACAATATCTCCATTTACCTGAATCAATTGTTCTTCCAAGAGGATTAACTTTCTTTGACTGTCTTTCGATTCAAAAAAGTTGGAATGCACTTCCTTTAAGTATTGAAGAAATTAATAAAATAACAAAACAATTATCTCAACAACATACTACTTCAATAGAAATACCAACTGTAAGATGGTCTGATATTGGTGGTTGTAATGAAGCTAAAAAACAAATTAAAGAGGAAGTGTCAAAAATATTATCATCAAATGAAAGTCATGGAATTTTATTATATGGACCTCCTGGAACAGGAAAGACTCTTCTTGCAAAAGCAGTAGCAACAGAATATAATATGTCATTTTTCAGTGTTAGAGGTGCAGAGTTACTTAGTAAATATGTTGGAGAAACAGAAAAAAATATTAAAAATCTATTTCACACAGCAAGAGAAAATAGTCCATCTATTATCTTCTTTGATGAAATTGATGCAATTGCTTCTGAAAGAAAAGGAGGGAGTGTTTTTGATAGAGTTGTAAGTCAAATTTTAACTGAAATGCAGGGGGTTGGTGTTATTGGTGGAATTCTTGTTATTGGAGCTACAAATAGAATAGATAAAATAGATAAATCACTTCTTGTTCCTGGTAGGTTTGATGTATCTATTGAAGTTGGATTGTCTTGTGGTGAAGAAAGAAAAGAAGTTATATTGGCTCAATTAAATTCAGTTCAACATGAAGATATTAATCTTGATCAATTTGTATCTTATTTACCAGAAAAAATAAGTGGATCAGACATCTCTATGATAATATCTAAAGCATATTCACTTGCCCGTAAAGAGGTGATAAATCGCTATATTAAAGGAGAAGTTGTAACTACACGAGATATAAAAATTACAGCATTTCAATTATATTCATCTCTTAAATAACACAAATTATTTAATTTTTTTGGTATTTATCTTTAATTCAAAATAATAAAAAAACTTAAAACTATAAAAAAATTAAAAGTAAATTAATAAAAACTATACTTTATCAAACCCGGAGAACTAAAAAAAATCGAGGTTTTTAGGGGTTGTTGGAGATGAGTGCTAAAGTAGCCACCGCCGTTCAAAGAGAAGCTTGCACAAAAACTGTTTGCCCATGCAAAGCAAGATGCCAAGCATTCAGAGCTGAAGTTATCAAAAGAACTATTCAAAACCATAAGGATATTGAAGCTGCTAAGAAAGCTGTTTATGTTGCTAAGAGAAATGCTGAAATTAACGGTGATTTATATGCTGAAGCTGATCCAAAATTAATTGTTGCCATTAGAATTAGAGGTATTAATGGAGTTTCACCAAAGATCAAGAAAATCCTTAAACTCCTTAGATTAAGACAAATTAACAACGCTGTTTTCATTAAGGCAAATGCTTCAACCATTAAGATGTTAAGACTTGTTGATCCATATGTTACTTATGGTTATCCAACTTTAGAAACTGTCCAAAAACTCATTTACAAACGTGGAGCTCTTAAAATTAATGGAAATAGAATGCCAATTACTTCCAATTGTATGATCAAGAAAACTCTTGGAGACAAAGATATTGTTTGTGCTGATGATCTTATTCATGAAATTTACACTGTTGGAAAGCACTTTAAGGAAGTTAACAATAAACTCGCTCCATTCAAATTAAATGGTGCTAAAATTGCTGAAAAGAATAAGAAGATTCATTTTATTCTTGGAGGAGGATTTGGAAATCGTGAATTACTCATTAACAAGCTCCTTGCCAAGATGATCTAAATTGATTCGTTATGATTTTTTTTGTTATATAAAACGATTTATATAAATAACAAAAAAGGGTTTAATAAAAAATTCAACGGGAGTTTTTTTTATATAGAATTAGAAACTTTTTAGAGAACTTTAAAACATCCAGATGAGTCAGATTTGTAAAACTGTCATTATTGGAGATTCTGGAGTAGGTAAAACTTGTATCATTCAAAGATTTACAAAAGGAACTTTCAATGAAGAACAAGCTGCAACAGTTGGAGCATCATTTGTTGATTGTGCATTTAAATTACCTAATAATGAAAGTTATAAATTACGTATTTGGGATACTTGTGGACAAGAAAGTTTTCAAAGTATTATTCCTATGTATTTTAGAAATGCGTCATGTATTATTCTTGTGTTTGATGTTAGTAATTTTCAATCATTTAAAGGTATTAAAAGTTGGTTATCTATTGCATTGTCAAGTGCACCAGAATCAACTCCTGTAGTTGTTCTTGGATCAAAAAGTGATTTACCTTCTGTTGTTCCTGAATCAACAATAAATGATTTTGTACGTCAAAGAAATTATTTATATTTCCCTGTCTCTTCTAAAAATAATACTGGAATTAAAGAAGCCTTCGATAAAATTTCTACTCTTGCTTTTGAAAAACAATCTTCTTTGACTAAAGAACAAGAAATTAGAATTAATGATGAAGTTAAACAATCTGATAAAAAATGTTGTTAATTACATATTTTTTTGTAATATTATATAACATTATTTCTTTTTTTTTTTTAAGATTTATGAAAAAAATAAAATTATATTAAAAAAATTAACTTGAAATGAGTGTAAAAAGATTAATTCTAAAAGAATAATTACTAAAATAATAAAAGTTAAGGAAAAAGAAAACGTGAATCGACAAAAAACTAGTATATCATTACACGAATAATGGCAGCAACAGAAACTGCAATTCTTGAGGGATGGCCAACATTACAAGAAGTACTTGAAGACTCATTTATGAAACGATTATTGAGATGTTATCTTTCTGATGAAAGGTCAGAAGAAAATTTAGACTTTCTTGAATCAGTAGGATTGTATGAATCTCAGTTTGATAAGTTGACACCTAAAGTACGTTTAGAAGCACTAAATTTTATTAAAGATCAATTTCTGGATAGAAACTCAGAACGACAAGTTAATTTATCTTATCAAATTCAACAATCAATCTTAAAAAAATTATCTGAAGTTACTTCAAATGCACCCAAAGATGTATTTAACGAAGCAAAAAAAGCAACAGAATATTTGTTATATACAGAACAATACACGTATTTTATTAATAAGTTAAATGCTAATACAATTGGTACAGGTAAAAAAGATGTTTATTCATTATATCTTAACCAATTTCCTAAAACTAACCCACAACCATTATATAAGCCAACGTTAAATAAAGTTATAGAAACTGAAAAAAAATCATGGAATGAAGATGAGGTAAAAAGAAATACAGAGTCTATTAAATCACTTATAGAATCATTAATTCAAGACGAATGTAATTATGTTGGAGTATTAACTAGTTTAAGTGAATTTAGTGAAATGATGACTAAAAAACAAATACTTGGTCCTGATGTATTGAAAGAACTTTTTGATCATATTCCTGTATTAATTCAACACCACCAAAAATTCATTTCCTCATTACAAGAAGCTAAAGCTGATGAGAAGGTTGGAGAAAAATTAAACTCTGGACTTCACTTTTTAGTACTTTATCGATACTACCTTCGGCACGTTCCAAAGAATATTGCTAAGTTATGTTCTATTGGTATGACAGATGAAATAGAAGTTGGAAGAGAATTATATCCTCTTCCAGTAATTGAAGAATTTGATAAACAACAAAAGATGACTAAAAAAATGAGTATATTACAAATGCTTGTTTATCCATATTTTAGAGTGAGAACATATCAAGCCTATGTGGATGATTTTATTAAAATGACAAAGAAAGATTCACAAGAAGTTAAAGAATTAGAAGTTGTTCATAGTCAATTAGCTATTTTTCAAGAACTAATTAATACATATTCTGATACCAATAAAATTGAAAGAATATCTGATGCACTCAAGCTTCTATTTCCATTTAGTTTTACTTCTATTATGCCTTTATTTGAAGGTAAGAATGGAATTTGTGGAATTGCTTCTTTAGATAGATTTGATAAAACTGATATTAATCAGTTGTCTATGTCACTTAATTCACGTAAAAAACTTACATTAATTGTTTTATATCGAGGTGTTGTTGTTACTGATGTACCAGTAATTAGAAAGAAAGGTAATGTAAGTAATTCTATTGACAAATCATTTTATTCATTTACATTAATAGGTGATATTCGAGATTTTGGTACTGAAGATTCTACAGAAACAATATATATTGATGTACCAGAAATCAAAAAGAGAATATGGTTTGGATGTGAAAATACTGAAGAATTTAAGTCTTGTGTTGAAGCATTAAGAACAATCTTGTCAAATTGATTTTTTCTATCTCCCAATTTTTGTCTTTTTATAAACTTTTTAAAAAAAGAATCTTAAAATGATTAATTAATAAGAAGATGAATGAGTCACAAGTTCAGATAAATTCAGAAGAGAAAATATTAAAAGAAAGCAATAAATTAAACAATGAAAAAAAAATGAAAAAAACAAAAAAGGAAATTAAAGAATTGAAACAGAAAGAAGAAAAAAAACCAATAAGTAACAATCCTGTAATTTGTAGTATTTTAAAAAATTTCATTAAGGTTCATCCTGAAGTTATCTTACAAAGAAAGAAAGTATTTAATCCACTTGATTGATATTAATAATTTTGTTTGAAGTCATTAAGAAATTAAAAAAAAATATAATTACCAAAGGAAACTTTTGTATTTTCCTTTCTTAGTTGGTGTTATAAATAAAGTATCAAGTTTAGAACGAACCAAACTAATGATTTTATTTCCACGATTAATCACTTCGTCTCTTTCCAGAAGAATATTAAAAGTACCACAAAAGAAATAATCAGAACGTAATGTTGCATAAATACAATCAACACCACCTTTACTACAATATTCTTTTAAATTTTGATTTTTCATTTCATCATAGACAGTTCTAAACATTCTATGAATTCTTTTTTGTTCAGTATAACTTGATTTATATGGTTCTTGAAATTCAGGTTCATGTAGTTGAGCATTATCACCTTCAATTTTAACAAATATATAATGAAGATATAATGAAGAACTTTCTTCAAATTGAATATCGACTGAAGGACCATTAATCAATTGGTTGATAAATGGGACATTTATTATTTCATTTTCAATTGTTTCAGCACAAGTACTAATTATTGGTAATGATTCATTTTTTGTTGCTAAAAGTACTAACGATAATTTACTTGTAAAAAATTTACAGAAAACAAATAATTGTCCTGATTGATTAAAGTCATATAATCCAATTGGAACCCATTTATCATTTATTGTAGGTAATCCTTGAACAAAAGTCATTAAAATATGAATGTCTTTTGGAGAAAGAGTACAACCAGATCTTTGATTGATATAAATGAGATTTAACTCATTAAATAATAAAGTGAATACAATTGAGTCATTGTCATTTGTTAATTTATCATTACAAGTATTTACTAAATTAATAATAACATCATTTATTTGTTCTCTCATTGTACATGGTAAAATACTAACAGCATTATATAAAATAGCAGTTGAAACATTCATTGAATGAATAAGAAATTTCATTTGGTCATATTCAGTTAATATAAGTCTTCTAAAATCATATGAAGTTTTCTTTTGAAATAATGATAAAATGGTAGTATAAGGAACAATAGAACAAAGTTTTCTTCCAATCATTTCTGCTTCAATCTTTAATTGTTGTGGTGTTTCTCCAGTTTTTGCTACAATAACAATTTCAATAGGTCCAACTGAATGAAAAATAATTATTTTTCCATCTTCACAAACAACATCATCTGTAGAATCACTTAAATCTGCAACTACAGAAGATAAAGCAGTTAATGTACCCATGAAAGGAGCTAATTTAATTTCATCTCCATACCTACTAAATATTGGTTTTCCTGCATCTGTATAAATAAGTATATGCTTCTTCTTCATTTCCCAAGCTTTTGCATTATTTGTCATATCAATTTCAGTATCATTCTCCCATCTTTTATGTAAAATGGAAAATTCATTTCTGATAGAAACATTTTCTTCAGCCATCTTCTTCAACCTAACCCAATATAAATACTCATCTTTTCTTTTAAGTTCTTTTAATTTACGTTTTATATAACAAAAATATTTTATCTTTTTTTTTTTTATAATTTTTAT